ATGAAATAAATCACACTCTTGGAACTGCACTCACTATTTGGCAAGTGCAGAACTCCATTATATAGCTTGAACTGGTCCATTTTAAACTACGTGAACAGGTTAAAAAAAAAAACAACTGGATTGGTTATAATTTAGGTCACATATCGGGTTAAATAAAGCTGGAACCGAACAATACCTCTTCTCATCAGTTTTCGACAGACGATCGCTTTTTGGCACGGACACCTGTTTTATTGTGAAAAGCCTCACCCCGGAAGCAGTTAAGCTACATCAGCGCTCGTTAGCTAACGTTACATCCTGACCGTTTTGACAACACTCACCGTCTTCTCTTCCAGAAAACAAACATGTAATAGATATTCACACGTCGAGGAGTGTGTCCGCTGCAGACGAATCGGTTGCAGGCTGTGTTTTGGTGACACCGAGTCCGGCGGAGGAAGAAACAAACGGCTAGTTGGCTAATGGACATGTTATCGTGCGTTTTTCGATGTGCCGTCGTAATGCTAATTCGCTGGACATGTAGCTAATGTGGAGCTTTCTGTGAAATATCTTCTTTTTTTTTCCTTCCCCTCCCACACGTCCAGTAATTTGTGCTGTGAAAGACGAGCTCACACACACACACACACACACACACCCTGCAGGCCTTAATGTTTGTTTGTTTTCTACTTCGAAACGTTAGCATCGTTTTTTTGTGTATTAGTTTTTGCTAACGAGTCCCGAGTAACGTCAAGATAAGAGTCGAGATAAGAGTTTAGCTCACACGCAGCGTTATAATGAGTTTCTTTAGTTTTGGGCAAAGTGCAGAAATCGATGTTGTCCTGAATGACGCCGAGACGAGGAAGAAGGCTGAACACAAGACAGAAGATGGGAAGAAAGACAAATACTTTCTTTTCTATGATGGAGAAACTGTCAGTGGGAAGGTGAACGTCACGCTGAAGAACCCTGGCAAGAGGCTGGAGCACCAGGGCATCAAAATCGAATTTGTCGGCCAAATAGGTGAGTTAAAAAAAATAGGAATATCTGCTTCCATTGGTGAAACTTCTACTAATGCAGTGTTTGCAAGCATGCAGACATCCTTCAGCATGAAGAGGCTCAATAAATATTCAATCCTGATGCTCAAAAATGCCCTCCTCTCAGCAAAAAGGAAACACACATGACCCTAGTCCTTATCTTGACACCCTCCACCCACGAATTTTCAGTTACATCTGAAGATTACAACATTTTCCTCAACACAAAAAGTTAATCCCTTTCCTGAAAGTAAATAATTTACAATGTAGATGGGGAGAATTAGCATTGAAATCAGATTACAGATTTCTTGTACTCTTCTTGATAACGTCTTTCTTTTCTTTTTTTTTTTATAGAGCTGTATTACGACAGAGGAAACCATCATGAGTTCGTTTCCCTGGTAAAAGATCTTGCAAGACCTGGCGAAATAACTCAGTCGCAGACCTTCGACTTTGAGTTCACTCATGTTGAGAAACCTTACGAGTCCTACACAGGCCAGAACGTCAAGCTAAGGTAAGTTTGATCATTCACTTTATTTTACAGGCAGACGACTGAATGACCGTGTCACTCTTTAACCTATCACGTGGTTACGTTTAAACTCAGCATTTTAACCCGTTGTGTCGCTGACATTTCACTAAATATGTATTTTAGGCCTAGATGTGTGTGTTAATAATTCTGTTTGTTCAATTTTCAGATATTTTCTTCGTGCCACAGTGATAAGAAGACTAAATGACATCAGTAAAGAGTTGGACATTGTGGTTCACACACTGAGCACCTACCCAGAACTCAACTCCTCCATTAAAATGGAAGTTGGAATTGAAGATTGTCTCCACATTGAGTTTGAGTACAACAAATCCAAGTAAGACTTGTAGGGATGCAACACTAAATATACACTAAATTGTAAACAGCCAATCTGTACAATGCTAGATAACAGTGAAACAAATCTGTAACTATTTTTGCTCAGTTAGTATCAACTAAAATCTAAATTTTTAACTCATTTTCTCTCAGTTAAGGAAATTAATCATCCAACTAATCATTTTAGCTTTTAAGACAGAGCGGCTTTATAATTTAATTTCCTCAATTTGTTAAAGGAAGCACACAAGTAATAACCATTAGTTTTATGGGCAAGAAGATCATTAAATCAAGGGATTAAAATGATAACAAATTCAGTTACAGCTCAGTTTTCATATCCAGCCAAGAAATAAAATTAAAATAAATAGAAGCACTGGTGTAGTTTGACATGAGAATATCTACACAGTAAGCACAAAGTTAATTCACATCATGTACTAATTCTTTAAATAATTATTGTTTTGGACTATAAAATATTAGCAAATATAACAACTTCCCAGGTTTCTTTTCAAAATGTCTTGTTTAACCTGATCACTATTCCAAAGCCTAAAGATATTCACTTTATTATACCAGAAAGAGAAAATCAGCAAATTCACATTTAAGAAGCTGAAAGCAGTGATTTTTTTTGGAGACATTTTGCTTAATCATTAACCGAACCAAAATACAGCAAATAGCAAGCAAAGCAAATATATTTCTGTTGATTTAGCTCATTTATTTATTGCCTAATGGAGTTATGTCATGCTGTGGAGAAACCACCAAGTGAAAAGATTGTGTATTCATTTGTTCAACTACATCCCTCATTCTTATTTTGTTCTTGGGTCATCCTTCTGATTTACCAGGTACCATCTGAAAGATGTAATCGTGGGAAAAATCTATTTCCTGCTGGTGAGGATTAAGATTAAGCACATGGAGATTGACATCATCAAACGCGAGACGACGGGCACCGGCCCGAGCGTATACCACGAAAACGACACTATCGCCAAGTACGAGATCATGGACGGAGCGCCAGTCAGAGGTAAACAAGCAATTTCAAACATAAAACAAGTCCTTATTCAGTCAGGAGAGCTTCTGTCCAACCTCTTGCAATGTGTTTGATATTTCAGGAGAGTCAATTCCCATCCGATTATTTCTGGCTGGCTATGATCTGACTCCCACCATGCGAGACATCAACAAGAAATTCTCTGTGCGCTACTACCTGAACCTGGTGCTGATCGACGAGGAGGAGAGACGCTACTTCAAACAACAGGTAGGCCACGGATAAAAGATTGTTGAAGATGGTAGATAAAATCCTGGCCACTCTCATGCTCTGTCAGTATTTCCTACTTGCTATTAAATTTCTGTTGCGGAGGCCTGATCATATTGCAATGTATTATACTCATACCAGGGCTTCTCCCATGTTTTCTAAAAATATACAAGGAGTAGAAAATAGGTCATAAAAACAAACAGTGTATGACTACTGCGGCTAT